CAACTTAATGCGTCAGGAAATAAAGAAGGCAGAATCCTCTGGAACGGCGATTATCAAGTCTGACTGAGAAAGCAGCAGTATATCAGATATTAAAGGTCGTCTATGTGCAACTTAGTGAAACTTTAAGGAAACGCATGAAAGAAGGTCAGCGTTGAGTAGATTTGGTAAAGAAAATTATTGAAAGCAACCGCGGCATTACGAAATTAAATCAAAGAATGGCGTTTGGGAGCCTGAAAATTTCAGCTCTTAGTGCAGAGGGCAGAGTTGCAGTCAGACGTAGATTAGAGATTTTAAGGAGAGTTTAAGTATTTTGTGGGAAACTGCACGTGACGAAAACAGCAGCACCATTGACACCAATAAGTTAACTGTAGATACAGATGATGTTGACGAAATTCCAAATATCTTGCCAGAGGAAGTGCGATATGCAATAAAACAAGCGAAGCGAGGAAGGGTTCCTAAAGGAAACGACATATTGTATCTGTCAGCATTTCAGCCAACCTACATTGACTATCATCAGGACGACTAACAGCAATGATGTTTGCTGTGAGGGTGGTCAGTGTACTTTGGCTGAAAGGTTAACCGTTATGTGAAATACATCTGTGTTTTCCTTGTGTGTAGAACCATGTATTTGATTGCTTTAATGTTATGTTGTTTGAGTACCCTTGAAATAACGCTGAGCGATCAGAAGAATAGTATTAATGTTTATTAAAATACGAAACCAGTTTATATTAGAAACAGATGGGAATTCAGCTTACCCTTGTACTCTGCAGATGAATCATTTCTTACAGTGTATTCATTAACGGTACGTTCTTAATGGTACTTACTAGTAGTAAATTGTCTTTATTGCTAGTTACTGAGTTCTTCCTACAAGAACTGGACTACAGTTACTTCGAAAACAAGAGTACTTGTCTCTAAATGCACAAGCCATTGTTAGCAAACACGGTATTGCTTTGGTCAGTATAAACGATAAGAGATGCACATGTCGACTGCAAGTGCTGAAGTTTAATGGAGTCATGACCTGCTTAAATTAACTCTTAGGCGGCTAGAAACAAGCGATCAGCATCTGTAAGCTGCTGATATGCAATAATGTTTGTTGCTCTGCTGATGGTTGCGGAAACCAATTTTGTTTGAAACATGGGTCAGTTAATTTGGCTGATAGGAACACAAGACTAATTTAGGAGTATCGGTAGCGTTATTACAAGACCAGCATATGTGTACCCGGGACGTCAGACACATAATGATTGCATGGCCTGTTTTGCAGAGGTTCCGTGCAACGAATGCAGAAGCTGCAGGAATGCGTCCGTGTAAACTTCATCTCAGAGCTTCTGAATAACTTTTTTAGATGATTCTGCTCAAGATCCTAAATTTAGCTTTATGATTTGATTTCTTTCGGCTTTAGCACTTTAGGCTTTAGCTTTAGCACTTTCTTCAGAGGAGACTGTTTCCACAGGGCTGTAGAACTGAGATGTGGTCACTACTAGACATCTAGATCCTGAAACTTGACTTCATCTAAATTCCGCTGAGATGCTGTTATCCAGGTCATTCTAGTTAATTATAGAAAATGAACTATGAAAAATTTAGTTTGTTGTACAAAAGCGTTGATCAGATAAATCATCTGATTGAAAATTACTAAAGATTGAAAATTTCAGAAGCCGTAAATTATTAAAACAAGCAAGCTTGTGTCATTGTTTCTTGCAGTATGTACTTAGATATTATTCCAATAATGTTTTAGCGGCATAAAAATATGGGACTTGCAGGCTGCTCTCGATTTGAGAACCCCTCCCGAAGCGTTGTGTCTGAAGACGCTAAAGGTACGTAGTGCATATTTGCTGTTTCCTGTACTGCGCATAACCAAACGCTCATTGGTTGTAGGAACACACTGGACGAGTTTTCCGTCTACAGTTCGACGAGTTTCAGATCGTCAGCAGTTCTCATGACGATACGATTCTAATTTGGGATTTTCTCAACTACAAGCCAGCGAATGTTTGCTCTGGGTTGTGACGAGAGTCGGCTGACTGCTACAGTTTCAAGCGCCTGTTTGCATCGGGTCCTCGTGAATGATGCGACGCGAAAACGACCCCCTCCTTGCACGCGCCTTCAACATATACAAGCTCAATGTATTCAGTGGCGTGGCGATATCGTATTTTTGACTGAGTAGCTATAGGTCATTGTTTGTACAGATAATGCAAATTCCTAATATTTCGTTCTGTTCAACTATTTCGTTTTTTTGCAGAATGTGGTACATAGTGCGAGGCTTTATGAAAGTAAAGTCCCTTTTTATTTGTCATGCACTACTTTTAACGCATCGACTATCATCAATCTCGCGTAAATGTATGAATCGGAAGGTTTCACAAGATCATATCAGACTTGGTGTTTATCAGCGCTACAAGTAAATACCTGACTAACGTATTGGAGGTAGCATGAAAAACAGGATATCGGGTAAAGTTCAATGCAGAAAGATGTCACATGCTCATCAAAGGTAAGATGGGCCTGAACTCAACTTTAGCAAGTTGGAACTTGCTAAAAAGATGGAACCTCCTGATGTTCTAACTCAAGTTAAATAAGCAGTTCAACGACCTTCACCACAGGCACGACTAATATCAGTGAACATTAACGAAATGTGTCAAGATATATCGAAGAAAAGTAAGAAAATATCTCCAGGAGAAGGACTACTATGGTCAACCCAATTATCAAGAAGCAAACGATAAATGTCTTGAGTAAACGAGGTGAAATAAACGCAGCGGATATTCGGTGATCGAATACAGAGGACTGCAAAAATTGGAGCAAACATAAAAGCAACCGCCTGAGCATTCAATTACAGACTGGTAAAAGTATGTTAAAAACAACCAAAGATTAACGGTCGGCAAAAGACAAATTTTAGCTCTTCAAGTAGATGATGATACTGTCATCAAGGCCAGGCAAGATATCCCGAAGTAGATGGCAAGATTTCTATAGAAAAATGCACAGAGATGAAAACAGCGGCACAAGTCCAGATATGAAGGTTTGAGATACAAGTAAATTATGATGTTTGAAAGAACTGTAAATTCCATAAGGTTAGAACACCACGCATATCATTGATAATTCTGCTCTACAAAATGGAGGCAAAGATGATCTT